TCCTCAATCTGAATACTGTTCATACTATAAGTAATATCATTAGTACTCGTCGTCTTACTCTTCAACTTACGCGTATTACCCTTATTACCCTTAATTTTGATATTATCATTATCCTTCATCCTCCTCTTCCTCCTCCACCTCCTCCTCGTCCTCCTCCTCCTCCTCTTCCTCCTCCACCTCCTCCACCTCCTCCTCCTCCGCCTCCTCATTGTCCTTCCTTCCGACCGCTTGACGCACGCCCATAGTGGGGAAGCGCGCCCGGCCGGGCCGCCCAGCGCGGGCACTTACATGTCCCGCAAGTGGGCATCTTAGCGCCCAACCCGCGGCGGCCCTTCCCCACGGCCAGGGGGCGCAGCCAGTGGCGCCCGACGCTGCCGCGGGGGGGCCCTGCCCGCCGGCCCCCCAGGGAAGGGGTCCCCCGGCGGCCCCCCCAACGCCTCCTCTTCCTCCTCTTCCTTCTCCTCCTCCTCCTCCTCCCCCTCCTCCTCCTCCTCCTCCTACATTTTTTCTTTTCATGATAAATAACTTTTCCTTGTCGCACCCCGAGGCCAGTTTTTTGGGCGGGCCGTGCGTTTCGCCTGAGACATCCTCACCAGCTATGACTTTGAAGCTTAAAAATTGGCAACAGCTTCACAGATGGAGGGCCGTTGGTCTTCAAAATTTGGTTCTCACCTTAGCGCGGGACGCACTAGTTTTAAACATGTGCAAGCGCTTCACGGATTGAGGGCGGCTCCTCTTCAAAATGTGGCTCTCGCCTTAGCGCGGCGACCATTAGTTTTAAACATTTGCAAGAGCTTCAAGGATTGAAGGCGGCTCCTTTTCAAAATGTGGCTCCCGCCTTGGCGCCGCGCACATTCGTTTACAAAATGTTCGAGAACTTCACGAATTCCCATCATCAACGCACCAGAAACTTTGCTTGGAAGGATTCAGGATTATGCGGGCGCAACAGTCACGTTGATTCTCTGTGTTAAAGTCCTGGGAATGGTATTCTGCACGATTCAGGACCCTCAAGACGCAACAGTCTGGTTGATCCGTGGCGTTGGAATCCCGAGAACAATGTTCTGGCATCAGTCAGGGTCTTCAAACGGGCGTCTGCCAACGAGGCAGTTCCCTCAATGGAAATGAACCGCTGCAGGGGCCTATGAAGAGGGAGCTTGGAGGGAGAGTTTACTCCAACATCGTTGATGACTCTTGGGTTTACAGTGGTCCTCCTCCTCCTCTTCTTCCTCCTCCTCCTCCTCCTCCTGCGAGGTGGTGGTCTGGCCGCGTCGGCGGCCCGAGCCAAGCGCCTGCCCCCTCCCACTTTCCCTCTTCCTCCTCCTTCTCCTCCTCCTCCTCGTTTTCCTCCTCCTCCTCGTTATCCTCCTCCTTCTTCCGTCGTAGTATTATTAATATTATTAGTATTACTCTCATTATTACTAGTATTAATGCTATTATTACTACTATTAATATTCAATTAATAGTGATATTATTCTGAGTCTTCATATTATACATACTACTGCTGGTATCCGTCTACTTCTGATTACTATGTTTCAAAGAAAACAAAAAAAAAAACGATGATTGTTCTCATTAGTCGGCTTCTCCTTCTTATCACTACGAACAGTACTATTCTTAGTAATATGAAAACCATTGTTATTAATCGTATTGCTAAGATTCGTATGAGTGTTCTTACTACTACTATGATTCATCTTCTTGTTATTTAAATGAATAACATCAATATTACATTTGCGATTATTCTTCGTAATATTATTATGATTATGCTTCTTCATGGTACTATCATTATTGCGTTGTCTATTATTATCATTATTCTTATCATTCGCAATATTATTATTACTATTGCTCCTCCTCCTCCACCTCCTCCCCCTCCTCCTCCTCCCTCCTCCTCCTCCTCCTCCTCCTCCTCCTCCCCCTCCGCCCCCTCAACAATTAAGCAATATGAATACTACTCTCCTCTCTCCCCGTGGCGTCCAAGAAATGGCCGGCCCCCTTCCGCGTACGGTTTTTTTGCACACAGGATTCCTAGGAAACATGTTCTCGCCTGGGATTTGTTTCAACTCTCGCTGAAGCGCTGGCCTCATTTTCGGACTACCGCTCGTTCCGAATCGTGCTCCCGCTACAACGCTGGCCTCATTTTCGCGCTTCCGCTCGTTCCGAATCGTGATCCCGCCGCAGCGCTGGCGTCATTATTTCCAGCACCATGCCACGGCATGATTTTCGATCCTTCCAAAAAGGCCCCAAAATCTAGAAAATGCCCACCCAAAAACGAACCATCGGAAGTGATTACACATTCGGTGTCGATTCGTTGATTTGCTGCGCCACAGAGGCCCCCCCCCACTTTGGGGCGTCGCCGCGACATGCTATGTCAGACTACGCATCCTCATTTCCACGCTTCTGCGCTTGGTTTGTTTCGAAATGCTGCTCTCGCTGAAGCGCTGGCCTCAGTTTCGGGCTACCAGTCGTTCCGAATCGTGCTCCCGCTGCAGCACTGGCCTCATTTCTGCGCTTCCGCTCGTTCCGAATCGTGCTCCCGCTGCAGCGCTGGCGTCATTACTTCCAGTGCCATGCCACGGCATGGTCTTCGGTCCATCCACATAGATTCCAAAACTTAAAAAATGGCCTCCCGAAGAAACCACGGGAAGTGATTACACATTCGGCGTCGATTCGTTGATTTTTGAAGCCGCAGAGTCCCCACCCCCTCATTTTGGGGCGTCGCCACGCCATGCTATGTCATGCTACACGTTAATGTTCAACACCATGCTATGCCATGTAATGCTATGTCATGCTACGACATCTGATTGTGCGAATAGGGAGGAGATCTGCGCCATGTAAGGGATGGGAGGGAGGGGTAGGCCGTCAGATATGACGCGAGCGCACCTAGCTTGTTCCCTCTCCCCCTCCCCCTCCCCCTCCCCCTCCCCCTCCCCTCCCCTCCCCTTCCTCCCTTCCTATCTCCCTCCCTCTTTTCTTCCCCATATCATCATCCTCTTCCTCCCCCCGAACGACCTCGCCCCCGAAGTGGCCCCGATTCTCCATCACAGTCACACAGACCCCGGGAGAGCCATGCCCACCACGATGGACAGAAGGCTGTCGGACAGGCTGCCTTGAAGCCTCAATTGGGGGGGAGACCAGGAAGGGGAAAGGAGACAGGAACGGAAGGAAGAGGGAGAGGAAGACGGGTACATGGAGAGAAGGGGGAGGAAGGCATGGACAGGAAAACGGAGAGTGGAGGAGTGGAAAGAGAGGACGGGGGAGGGGGGCGCTCTCTCCCTCCCGCTCCCTCTCTCTCTCTCTCTCTCTATCCCTCTTTCTCTCTCCCACTCTCCCCGCAACCCCAGTCCAAAGTGGAGCGCCCTAGCACGGGGAGAGCACGCAAGGCACCGCGCAGGTCAGAACGCCTGCTCTGCCCGAGACGCAATCCATCTTGCAAAAAGGTAAGAGCGCGCATCCCTCGCAGGAGGACGCCAACCACGGATTACCTGGTACCCCCCGACCGCAAGCACGACAGCCCGAGAAACACACTCGACATAACGTGCGTGCGCGCACACGCGGCACGAGAAAGAGGAAGTAGGAAAAGCCCTCCCCCATACCCCTCCTCCCCCCGACCTCCGACGTCGCGATCTTTGTGCATCCTGGACCCCAAAAAACCGTGACCCCTTCTCTGGAATCGGCTCTTCCTCCTGGCCGATGTTTCACGGCCCCCGGGACCGGTGAAGGCCCCTTGGTGGATGAAAACGGAAAAAAGATTTCTGCCGTGATCATTTCACAACACGAAAGAGTTTGGGCCCGCCCCGGGCTCGGGTGTCGAATCGATCCCCAGACCTGTCCTGGGGTGCGCCCTGGCCAGAAACTCGATGGGAAGGCAGCCGTGGCGACGAGGAGCCTCCCAGAGACCCGAAAAGGACGCAAAACGCACAGTGACTCCAGACCTAAGCATCCGACGCTTCGACTTTTTCTGCGCGCGAGCCCCTCCAGACCTCTCGACCCCTTCCCCTCTTCATCCCAGTCGATTTTTCGACGGTCTCAAATGGACGAGGACGCTCCACTACTCGCAAAGTGACTACTCGCAAATGGCCTGGATCCGCCGGGGGGAATCTACGAGAAATTACATCGAAGCAGACATGTGTTTTTTCTGACGCTTGCGAGTAGTAGGCACTTTGCGTGTAATGGAACGCGCTCGGTGACCAGAACCCAGAGCCAGTCCCCAAAAACCATGAATGGCGACAGGCCGGGCACAAAAAGGACGAAACACGCTGGCGCTGTGCTCCTGCAGGGCTCCCTCCTCCACGAACGACTGCGCCAGCACTGGAAATCCCACCAGCCCTTTACGGCGTAGGTGGTCTAGGGTGTTTTGTCTTCCATCTGCCCCTCTTCCCCTTCGGGGAAAGGTTTATCACCGCTCCTCATTAATATACAACCCCTCCCCCACCCAGCCGGCGGCCAACCAAGAACCATGCCGACACCATGCGGGCCCGCCCCCCACCATCCCTGTCAAAAAACAATGCAAACCGCACTCTGCCTCCAAATTTGGACCATGCGCGGCCAACCCAATGCGGCCCCCCCACCATCCCTGTCAAATAAAATGCAAAGTACACTTTGGGGCAAAGTCGTGGGTCATGTTCGTGAGGCCCGCGAAAACTTTGTATTGCTTTTGACAGGGACGGCGGGGGTGCCAGCATATTCCCTGCTGCGCAAAACAAAACAATACAACATGTACCTCGTGGCTAAATCTGGATCATGCGCAGCCAACCCACCATCACTGTCAAATGGTTTTTGACAGCGACGCTGGGGGGGGGTCGTGGCCTGCTGTGCGCAGGCCCGCACAATGACGGGCATTGGTTTTCGACAAGGATGGCGAAGGCCGACATGTTTCCCGATGTGTGCTGTCACATGCGCAGCCGCACCTGACGCACTCTGCACGTGCCCCGAACATGGCGCACCTGGAGTGTGCGGCACAGCTGGCGCACTCGGAGCACGTGGCACATCTGGCGCACCAGGCGTGCCTGGCACGCTTGGGCCCCAAGGGTGCCTGGCGCGCGTGAAGCACCTGGCACGCGTGGCGCACCTCGCCCAAGCGTCGCGCACCTGGGGTCGGCTTTGGTTCCCAGTAGCTGTCCATCCAAAGACGACCGCTGAACATGCTCAGGCTCGGGTGTTACTTCTGTGTTGGGAGAACGGGTGGGAGTGAGCTAGACAGCTTGCGGGCGGGGGGGTAGTTTGATCACTGTTCCTTATTGATATACACCCCCTCCCCCAGGCGACCAGCGTCCAACCAGGAACCATGAGGACACCATGATGACCCGCTCCCCACCATCCCCGTCAAAAAACAGTAGAGGGCGGGTGGGAGTGAGCGAGACGGCTTGCGGGCGGGGGGGTAGCTTGACCCCTTCCCCCACCCCCTCCCCTGGACCTGGACGGGGCCGGTCGAGAGGTGTCCAAAACGGCCTCGGCGAGGAAGCCAAAATCATTAGATTCACTAAGGTTCTAGCCCAGTTTTGGCCTCTTGGGGGAGGACGCTAACTAAAGCTCCCCTCTTGTTTGATCGATGTCCTCCAAAATGGCCCAAAGATGGTCCCCAAGGCTCCCAAAGGCGCTCCAAGAGAGCCCTAAGAGGCGCCCAGGAGGCCCCAAGATGCCCCCAAAAGGCCCCCAGGATGCCCCCAAGATGCTCCCAAGAGACCCCCAAGAGGCCCCAAGGCCTCCCAGAGGCACCCAAGACGCCCCAAGAGGCCTCGGCGAAAATGCCAAAATCCGCCGACCCCTTGGGGTTCATCGGCGTGTGAGATGTTCCCCCTCCCCAAACCCCTCCCCCGGGAGCCCGGTCCGGTCGATTTGGAAGGGGGGGGGGTCGGGCCGGATCCCCCGGATGGGAACGGAGGGGTCATCCGCTCCCGAAAATCGTGCAAAACCTCATGAAAATCGTGCAGGGACGCCTCTGGTGGCCTCGACATGGCTCTGGGACGCCCAACGAGCGCTCCAAGCCGCCCAAGGTGGCCCAAAGACGGGCCACGAGGCGTCCTCGACGGCAGAAGAAGCCCCCACGAGCCCCCCCGAGGGCCTCCGAGATGCGTTCCACGAGGGTCCCTAGACGCAAAAATTGGCCCATTCCCTTCGTGAAACGTAAATTTGTACAAATTCGGCTTTGGGCCTTTCCGATGCTCCCCGACGGCCCAAGAGGCCCCCAAACCCGCTCCCAGACGGCTCCAGGAGCCTCGCAGAGGGTGCCCCACATACCCCTAGATAAAGGGCCCCACTGTTCCCCTCCCCAAACCCCTCCCCCGGGAGCCCGGTCCGGTCGATTTGGAAGAAGGGGGGGGGTCGGGCCGGATCCCCCGGATGGGAACGGAGGGGTCATCCGCTCCCGAAAATCGTACAAAACCTCGTGAAAATCGTGCGGGGACGCCTCTGGTGGCCTCGACAGACATGGCTCTGGGACACCCAACGAGAGCTCCAAGCCGCCCAAAGACGGGCCACGAGGCGTCCTCGACGGCAGAAGAAGCCCCCACGAGGCCCCCCGAGGGCCTCCGAGATGCGTTCCACGAGGGTCCCTAGACGCAAAAATTAGCCCATTCCCTTCGTGAAACGTAGATTTTTCACAAATTCGGCTTTGGGCCTTTCCGATGCTCCCCGACGGCCCAAGAGGCCCCCAAACCCGCTCCCAGACGGCCCCAGGAGCCTCGCAGAGGGTGCCCCACATACCCCTAGAGGGCCCCAAGACGGGCCAACAGGCCCAAGAGGGCTCCGAAAACGGCCCCAAGAGCGCTCCAGGAGCGTTCCGAGTGGCCTCCACAAAGCTCCACACGGTCCCAGACGGTCCAAGAGCGATCACAAACATCGACGACGGCCTCCCGACGGCTCAACAGGCCCCAAGACGGCCCAAGAGGCATCCAAGATTCGCCCCAAGAGGCCCTCTAGACGCAAAAAATCGCCCGTTCCCTTTGTAAAACGTACATTTTTCCACACGTGCGCCTTTTGGGGTGCCCCCCGCTCCTGGACGGCCCCAGAGCACCCCAAACCCGCTCCCAGACGGCCCAAGACGCCTCCAAGAGGGTTCCCCATATAGCCCTAGGGGGCCCCAAGACGGGCCAACAGACGTCCAAGACGGCCCAAAAGGGCTCCGAAAACGGCCCCGACAGCGCTCCAGGAGCGCCCCGACTGGCCTCGAAGAGAGCTCCACATGGTCCCCGACGGTCCAAGAGCGATCAACAACACTGACGACGACCTCCAGACGGCTACACAGGCCCTCAAGACGCCCCAAGAGGCATCCACGATGCGCCACAAGAGGGCCTCTAGACGCACAAAAACGCCCGTTCCCTTCGTAAAACGTATATTTCTTTCTCGCACGTGCGCCTCTTGGGGCGTTCCCCGCTCCCGGGCGGCCCCAGAGCCCCCCAAGACCGCACCAAGACGGTCCAAGAAGCCTCCACGAGGGCCCCGCGACAGCCCAAGAGGGCGCCAAGACGGGTCAAGAGGGGCCGAGGACGGCCCAAAGAGCCCCGAAGACAGCGCGCGCGACTCGCGGTCAGATTCCTCGCAACTTGCGTTGCTTCCCGCCGTGCTCGCCACTTGCTTCCGCAGGGCGTTTCGGCGGGTCTCTGACCATGGCCTGAAACGATTCAAGGTCACCCCACGGCCGCCCCTGACGGTTCCAAAAAGACACCGCAAAGCAGTTCTGAGGTCACCAAGGGCATACCACAGTCCTCGGCAATAGATGGCGACGGCCAAGACGCCCGAAAAGAACGCCCAGAGCGCCCCATGACAGCCCAAGAGAAGCCGATGACAGCCCAAGAGAGCCCCAAGACAGCCCAATACTGCCTCAGGACGGCCTAAGGAGCCCCAAGACAACCCAAGAATGCCCCAAGAATGGCCCAGGGGCCTCAGACCACCCAAAGAGGCGACCAGACCACTGCGCGATTCTTCATAAGGGGTCGGCGGATGTGGCGTAAGCCTGAAGAATCACTGATTTTACTCAGGTGTTGACAACATGTTGGCCTCCTGGGGACGGGCACTGATGAAGATGGCTCCAGGAGCGCCTGGGAGAGCCCAAGATGACCTCCAAGATGGCTCCCAAGATGCCCCCCGAGGCACCAAGATCGCTCAAAGACGGCTCCAAGTGGCCAAAGAGCTCCCCCAGGAGGCCCCGAAGAGAACAACATCCTTCCAAAACCTTAGGAAAATCCATGTGTTTTGCTTTCTCGCCTTTTCGCTTCCGATGGCCATCCGAGGCCTCAAGATGGCTCCAAGATGGGCCAAGAGGGCCCAAGAGAGGCTCAAGAGAGCTCCAAGACGGCCCCAAAAGCACACAAGAGCGCTCCGAGAGCGCCCCAAGAGCGCCCCAAGAGGCGACTTTTGGGGCTCCCGAAGGGCAACGCTAATTAATGCTCCCCTCTTGTTTGATCGATGTCCTCCAAGATGGCCCCGAGAGCACTTCCACGGCCCCCAAAAGCCCCTCGAGAGGGCCCAAGTGGCGCCCAGTAGGCTCCATGACGCGCCCAAGAGGTCTCCAAGAGGCTCCCAAGAGACCCCAAGAGGCCCCAAGAGGCCCCCCGAGACCGCACCAAGAGACCCACGGGGCCGCCAAGAGGCCCCCAAGACGCAAGAGAAGCCGAAGAGAGCCGCAAGAGCGCCCAAGAGTGCCCCAAGAGCGCCCCAAGCGAGACCCTTCATCTGCGCGCTGCCCACTTCCCAGATCGAAGCAAATCCTCTGGGCATCGTCTCTGGATGGGCTGGTGCGGTTACTTTTTGATCGCGACCGCGGCGAGACAAGTCGGGCGGCGGAAAGGAACGAAGCGCAGATGCACCGGCCTAGATTAGCGCACAGAAGGAGAAGGGCGAAACGAAAAGAACAAGAGCGGACAGAAAAGAAACGGACAGCAGGCGAACCTCACTGCCGCTCGCTGGCGGGGTTACTTCTTGGTCTGCGGGCTCGCGAAACACGTCGAAAGCCGCCCGAGCACTAGTCGGGCCGCGACTAGGCAGCAAGAAAAGAGAAGCAAGCGAAGCGAGCGCGCGGGCAGCAACTCAGAAGAAGAGCCAGAAACGAAACTCGCTGGTGGGGTTACTTTTTTGATTCGCGGCCCGCAAGGAAAAGTCCAGAGGGCGGAGTGACCGAGGCTGGGGCACAGCGACAGATAATTGGCGCGACATCGCGCAGAGTGCACCTGCAGAAAATCAACGCCGCTGAGCACGCGCCAGCAAAAGAAGGCAACCGCGAAGGCAACAGCTGAAGCCCAGGCGCCACCACGCGGGCCCCAAAAGCCGCTGAGCGTGTGCCAGCAGAAGGGGGGCGGGCGGAAACAGGTCGGACCCGCAGGTGGGGCACCGACTGCCAGGCGGAAGCGTGCCAAAACCACTCACATGCCTCCCAGGGCGTGGGCCAGTGTGTAAGCCACCGAGGGGGTTCGGGCCAATGCCTGGAGGGTGCCAGCCAACCACAGGAGAGGGCGCCCGCGATGGCCGCAGGTACCAAGGCGGCGCGGAGCCTCCGCTCCCAGAAGGCCCAACTGTGGCAGGAGCCAACGTCTAGCACAAGCGTCAGGGCGGTGCCTTTGACCGACGACCGTGTCCGCCGCGGGCCGGCAAGCGGCCAAACTATGAGTCCAAAACTGCCGACCGCACTGTCTACACGCCCATGCGCAAGGGGGGTCAGAGGTGATAGCCGCTCCTGCGAGCGACGACGTGGAAGTCACTGCACGTCGCCGACTCCAAAGGATGGGGCACATGGAGGGGCCGAGGCCAGCGTCCGATGCGCCCCGGCCCGCACACGCCGACGACGGGGCTATTTCAGCCGGCCGCACGGGCTAAAAGCCCACGAGAACGCAGGAACGATCGCGGTGGCGGGGGGGTACCTCAACCCCAGGAGGTAACATCAGTCCGCCCCCGTGGCACACTGCTTCGGTGAAACACGTCCTGTCGCTGGCTGCGTCGACAGGTGCGGCCGCATGGTGGGAACCCAGTGGCCACGGGGCCCACCGCAATTCATCTTCCCGGGGAGCTGGGGCCCAGCGGAAGTCGCCCCCCTGTGGCGACGAGGAAGGGGGGTTAGCAGCCGATAGCCGCAGTCTTGAGTGCAGAAGCAGTGGCGACGAGGAAGGGGGTCAGCAGCCGAGAGCCGCAGGACATCAGATAGCACGTGGCGACGAGGGATGGGGAGTGCAGCCGATAGCCGCGGAACTGGAAAGCGAAGCGAGAGGTTGAGGCGAGCGGCCTGAGCCGCAAGACAAGTCTTCCGCGAAGGGGGTAACTCGTTGTCCCAGAAGCCCAACGCCGTGCGCCTTGGCGGCTTTGGGTAGCGTCGGCCCTGCCCTAGTCGGGGGGCCCCTGCCAGGCCAGCTGCCGGGCTACCAGCGCGCGAGTTCCCTTCCTCGCTGCCGCTTGTCGGCGCATTGCTCGTCGCTTTGCGGGGCGGTCCTTTTCCCCCTGCCCCCCCACGTCGCCCCCCTCCATGAACTATCCTGGCGGCCCCACCCTTCCCAGCGCGGCCTTGGGCGCCATGGGGCTCCAGAGCTGGATGCCCCCGACCAGGTGGTCTCCCTGTAGTCGGCGCACGCTGGCGGGGCGGCTGTGCCGGCTCTGGGCTTGCCCCACGGGTGCTGCTGCAAAGCCCCGCTGTGTGTGCTAGAGGACTGGGTCTGTTCGCGGTGGCTTGCCCTGTCGGGTGGGACGGGGGGGGTGGGTACTGTCCTGCTGCTGTCGGACCAAGGGTATGGGTGGCCCTTGCTGTCTTGCCCCCTGGGTGCGCTGGCCCTTGCGCTGCGATGTAGTAGGCTACGATATTTCTCGGTGACCTTTTGCCATTCCACCCGGAGATGGTGGTGCCTCACCAACTTATAGGCGTCGTAGCCCGCAGCTTCCCACGCCCACAGGAATTCTTCGCACAGCTCCCTTGTGTACCTCTTGGGGTCCGAATGGATGTCGACCCAAGGCAGACCTTGCAGGCTGCCTGCCCTGCGGACCCAGCCTGTCCACGCCCCGTTGAATGCGCCTCCGAGTGTCTTCTGTCGTCTGGTGACTTTCTCTTGGGCTGGCTCATCCCTCTGGATGTCGGCCTCGTCGATGGACCTCATGTACATGGGGAGCACTCCCAGGGGGTCGTCTTGATGTGGAGGTGGGAGTGGCTCTGCCTGTGGGCGCGGCCGTCTCTCTGGGCTGCTGTCCTGCTGGGGGCTGGGCGTCGGGCGGGTCTCGTGCGCTGGAGCTGCGAGTTCCGGGATAGTCTCCTGACGGCAGTCTGGCTTGCTCCCTTTCCCTCTTAGTTTCCTGTTGTCAAGGACTTTTTCCATGTCCTCTCGGAAGCGGGCCGTCGCGCATGGCGTCCAAATGGCCGCTTCCTCCTTGTCGGGGGGGGCTGTCCACAGCACTGTCCGCTTGTGGGAGCCGTCTCTGTCGCTGGGGCCGTTGGTTTCGGTTTCCTCGGCCTGCTGCGGGGGACTGTCGACCATGGAGACGGTCCTCTATGGATTGTCCTCATCCCAGTCTACCTCGAACGGATTGTCGCCGTTACCGTGGGAGTTCCTGCCAGGGGATGGTTCCTCCTTTATCTCCTTGGTCGCTTTTGTGGCTCCTGGGGGCTGCTGGCGGAGGTCATCGCCAGGGGTGCGGCCGTCCAAGGCTGGTGGGGGCTTGTGCCAGGCAGCGGCGGGGGAGTGGTCTCCGGCGTCGTTGCTGTTCCCGGCGTTACGCTCGCCAGCGAGGAACTCCAGCGTTCCCCCTGCGAGATCGTCCTTCCTAAGGGATAAGAAGCGGTGCAGCGTGTCCAACGGCTGCCGTCGGGGGTCTTGCCCTCTTTGGCAGTCGAGTCCAGCGCGGCTGGTGGGGTTACGCGAAACGTCTAGAATTCAACATTGCGACCCGTCTTGCGGTGTGCCATGGCTAAAAATTCAAGAGGAATCGAGCTGCGGCAAAGAGGGCGCCCTAGAGGCCCAAAAGAAGCCGCAAAACGTCTAAAAAACTCGCACCTCTGTTGCATTTTCGGGGCACTTCGTTTTTCCCATCTCGTCGCCATTCACGTCGGACCCATGTCGAATCCGCGAACCCACGTCGCATCCACGTCGAATCCGCGTCGAATCTGACTCGGAGCTGCGTCTAATGCGGATACCAGAATAGACCTCACCTTGTCGGACAGGCAAGTTCCCCCGAACATGCCATGCAATCGAACCTCCACCAGTTGCTGCTCCACGAGGGACGGCGCCAGCCCTGGGCAAATGGAGGCCGCCCAAGTGGGGTCCGAATAGACGAGATCGGAGGATCGCGCCGCATGGTCGACGCATCGCCAGCGCATCGGCGATACATTCGCGACGTCGGCGATGCATCGGCGCCGTCAGCGTGGAGAAAATCGAGCTCGACACCGAGCCGCGTCGCCGATGCTTCGACGATGCGGCGCGATCCTCCGACCTCGTCTACTGAGAACCCGTTTGGGAGCCCTGGAGCAGAGCGGCCCCAGCAGGACAGGCGGCTGGGGGGCCGCTGGGCCTCCCGAGCGCGCCTCGGGCGGCCGCGGAGGCCTCCGGTGGAGGGGCCTCCTCCTCCTCCTCCTCCTCCTCCTCCTCCTCCTCCTCCTCCATCCTTTACCTTTACACTTGTGAACCACTTCTCCTTGTCGCAATCCCAGACCTGTTGATAGGGCGGGCCAGGCTTTTCGCCTGAGATTTCTTCACTACCATGGTCCTGAAGCTTGAAATATGCCACAGCCTCATGGTTGGAAGGCGGGTCGTTTTCAATATGAGGCTCTCGCCATCGCGCCGCGCACATTCGTCTGAAAGTTCGCAACAGCTTCAAGGATACAAGGCGAGTCCTTTTCAGCATGTGGCTCTCACCATAGCTCCGCGCACATTCGTCTGGAAAGTTTCCAGACGTTTCAAAGATGGAGGGCAGTTCTTTTCAAAATGTGGCTCTCGCCTTGGCGCCGCGCACATTCGTATTACAGTTTCGTCAGAATCTTAAGGGCTCGTACGGTTGTAATCCCAAGAACGGTGCTGTCGCACGAGTTAAGGTTACCAGGACGCAGCAGTCACGTTAAGTCGCGGTGTTGAAGTCGCAGGAATGGTATTCTGGCACGGTTTGGGGTTGCCAAGACGCCACAGTCACGTTGCTTCGCGGCGCTGAACACCCAGAAATTGCGTTTTAGCATGTTTGAAGATTCTTGAACGGTTGTCTTCTTTTGGGCCACTTGCCGCAAGTAACATAAATTCTTGTAAGGCCAAATGCACAGGGAGTTTGGAGGGAGGGTCTATTGCAACGTCGTTGGTGCACCTTTGGTTTTATCTGGTCCTCCTCCTCCTTCCTCCACCTCCTCGTCATCATCCTCATATCATCATCATCATCATCATCATCATCATCATCATCATCATCATCATCATCATCATCATCCCCCTCCTTCTCCTCCTCCTCCTCCTCATCATCATCATCATCATCATCATCCCCCTCCTTCTCCTCCTCCTCCTCCTCATCATCATCATCATCATCATCACCATCATCATCATCATCATCATCACCACCACCACCACCACCACCACCATCATCATCATCATCATCATCATCATCATCATCAATCATCATCATCATGCTCCTCCTCCTCGTCCTCCTCCTTCTCCTCCTGCTCTCCTGCTCGTCCTCCTCCTCCTCCTCCTCCTCCTCTTGCTCCTCCTCCTCTTGCTCCTCCTCCTCCTCCTCCTCCTCCTCCTCCTCCTCCTCCTCCGCCTCCATCACATATTTACGACCACCCAAACAACTGAAGCCAGAGCAGCGACGTCAGACCGAACTGCAGACCTTGCTCACGCCAACCTTGTCAAGAAACCCTCTGTCGCAATGATATGCGACGGTTCTTCGGTCGCGGAAACACACAAAAGTCAACGCTGGTTTCCAGGACACAGTCGCAAATAGCGCCAGGAGCGAATGAGGCAACAATCCCCTGTAAATTACACGACATTCGCGCTCCCGAAGCCACAATCTCTCGCAAATTACGCCGCGTTCGCGCCTCCGAAACCACGATTCCTTGTAAATTACACCACGTTCGCGTTTTTGGGGCCACGAACATCCGTAAATCACGCCACAGTCGCGCCCCCGAGGCCGCGATCCCCCTGTAAATACTCCACATTCGCGCCGCCCCTTGCGCGGGCGGTGGTAATCCATCGTCAGCCGAATCGGGCGCAGGGGGGAACCCTTGCGTCCGGGCCGGGGGTGGTAACCCATCCTCGGCCGAATCGGGAGCAGGAGGAAACCCTTGCCTCCGGGCGGGCGGTGGTAACCCATCGTCAGCCGAATCGGGCGCAAGGGGGAACCCTTGCGTCCGGGCCGGGGGTGGTAACCCATCCTCGGCCGAATCGGGGGCAGGGGTAACCCTTTATCTCCGGGCCGCTGGTGGTAACCCATCGGCGGCCCGGGCGACGACGGCGCCGAGGCGGGCGAGGGCGTGGAGCACCCGGGCGCGCCTCCCTCGAAGGTCCAGGCGCACTTCCAGCCGGTCCCGACGTGGGGCATCGACGGGGAGCAGGACATGGCGGACGTGCTGAACTTCGCGCACCGCAAGCGCCTCACGAAGTTGGCCAAGGAGCTCCTCGCGCTCCCGTGCATGTCCGAGGCGGCCCGCGAGGGCGCGGGCGTGCCCGAGCCGACGGAGGCCGCGACCGTTCCTGCTCCCGCGGCCGGGTACCGACCGCTGGTGACCGCAGCGCGCGAGGAGAGACACTCCTGGGCGAGCCTGCATGACAACCGCCTCCAGGGCACTCGCGACGAGGATGGCGCGGGCGCCGACGACGGCGCGGACGAGAGCGCTGGCGGCCTGGGCACCGACGCCACTGCGGCCAGATTTGACGGCAAAGTGTATTCCACGCCCAGCGCGTACATCGCCGAACTGGTCGACGCTTTGTCGGAGGACCAGAGACTCACGCGGGACCAGACGCTCTTCGTCGCAAGATTCGCCAAGGCCTGCGACCAAGCCTGGGAAGACGACGTGCAGAAAAAGCCCTGGAGCGAGAGAAAAGTGACGCACTTGCTCCTGCTGGGCCAGGGCGGCTCGGGGAAGACTCACGTGGTGCAGAAGATCGTCTTCCCAGTGGCGCAGTATTTGTTGCCCCCGTCGTCGACGGACAAGGCGCCATGATGGTCGTGGCCTTCTCGAACTCGCAGGCGAAGAACATCTCCACGGAGACTGTGAAGGCTAGAACGCTGCACAACGCCTGTGCCCTGCGAGCCCAGAAATACATCAACGCGAAGATGAGACCGGGGGGCATGCAGAAGAGGGGGAACTGTTGTGGGAGTACGTCCGCGTTCTGGTCATCAAAAAAGTCAGCATAATGACGGCAGCTCTGTACAACGCGCTGGACCTCCGCGCCTGCCACGGACGCAGTGACACGCACGACGTGCATGAGTCCACCTACAAGCGGCCGCACCACCACTTCGGGCGCGTCCCCATCGTGCTGCACCCCGGCGATTTCCTGCAGCTGAAGCCCACCGGAAGCATCGGGCTCCTGACGGACGTGAACGAGCGCTTGGACGACGGAAAAGGGTCGTACAAGTACGCGGAGCCGCCGACGGTGGAGATTCAGCACGCCATCAAGGTCTTCTCTGAGATCCCCAGCGTCTTCGAGCTGAAGGGCACGAAGCGCTTCGAGCCCGGGGACCCTCTGATCACGCTCCTGGGCTGCATGCGCGAGGGCAGGCCCTTCCCACCAGAGGTCTGGTCTGCCTGGGAGAAGACGTTGGCCTTGGACAACCAGGGCGCCCTGGACCCTCGGCACCAGCACGAGAACTTTCTGCTCGGCTACGGCATGGGCATACACTGGGAGACGCTGGCGAGGTGGATCAACACGCGTGCTCGTCGCGACGCTCGGCGTCTGGGCGTGCCCCTCGTTTTCTTGCGGGCCCTGGACGAGCGCGGCACGATTCAGGGCGATCCCGACGCGGGTCGGCGCCTCCTGAACGTCCCGAACATGCACAATACGGGGGACATCCACGGCGTCTTGCCGGACCACGTCGGCATGGAGGTGCCATTCACGGCCGTGCAGGAGGAGCTGCAGAAGAAGCTGGGGCTCGTGCAAGAGCAACGGGCCACCATCGTTTCCTTCGAGTTTCAGTTAGACGACGAGCGAGAGTACGAGGAGTGCGCGCCGGGCCAGCTCGTTCGCCCCCGCTACCTACCGCAGGGAATCTGGCTGCAGGTGCACGGCTTCCAGGAGTCCCCGATCTACCAGAAGGTCGCCGAGGTGCTGCTGCAGAACGCCGAGGGCGCTGACGACGACGGCGAGGCCAAGGCGCGGGCGAGGAGCTTGCTCCTGTTCAGGCCAAGCGAGCAGCAGCTCACGTGGCAAAGCTCGGGGACGCACACTGTGCGCCGCTCGGGGTTCACCTTGACGCACGCGTCCTACTTGACCTCGACGCTGTCGCAAGGCCAGACTCTGCGCAAGGGCGTCACCATCGACTGCGCCAGGGATGAGGACGCTAGCCGCACGGGCATGTCGGACGAGCTGGCCGCGTTCTCCCGCGCCACGTGCATGCGGAACATGCTGATCCTGCGGCCGCCCGCGCGAGAGTTCCTGGAGCGCGGGCCGCCGGCGTCCCTGCGGAAGGCGCTCCAGGAGTTCGACAAGAGAGCGGTGGACTCCAGGGCTGAGGCGGAGCAGCTCGCGGCAGAGCTGGATTTCGTGCTGCCTCCCGCCTGAGCGCCGCGGCGCGCACCTGGACGCCCGCTTTCTTGTCCCAACGGTCTGGCCCGCGGGGTTGTCCCGACGGCCTGCCCTCGCGCCCCGGCGGCCCGCGGGATTGCCCCACCCCAAAGGCATGGCTGGCCCGAAGGGCTGTCCCGACGGCTTCGCGATCTAGCCGTCGGCAAACGCGCGCGTGCTGGCCGAGGCGGCGACGGCGCCGAGGAAAATCGACTTGCTTCCCCCGACCAGGGGGAAGGGGAGGTGCACACGGAGAAGAGGCAGGAGGAGGATGAGGAGGGAAGGGGTAGGGGGAGGGCGATGATGAGGAGGAGGTGGAGAAGGAGGGGGAGGAGGAGGAGGAGGAGGAGAAGGAGGGGGAGGGGGAGAAATAGAAGGAAGAAAAGAGGGCTGAGGAGAGGGCGAGAGGAGGGTGTTTGCCATGGCCAGGAGGAAAGGGATAAGGGCAAGCTAAACAGATTATCATGCGGGGTCCTTCCGTCGGAGTAATTGAAGGATGTTGGTTTTTGCTCCTTTTCGGCCTTCCGACGGCCCAAGACTGCCCAAGAGGCCATCAAGATCGCCCCAAGAGTGCCCAAGAAGCCTCCAAGAGGGCCCCAGTACGGCCCAAGAGGCCCCCAAGACGGCCCCAGGACGACCCCAAGACGGCCAAAGAGGCTCCAAAGAAGCCCCAGATGGCCTCCAAGAGGCCTCCAAGACGCCCAAGATGGCCGTCAAGACGGCTAAGATGGCCCGAGGATGCACCCAAAACGGCCCAAGATGGCCTCAAGATGGCCTAAGACGGCCCTATGGGCCCGCAAGAGGCCTCCAAGACGGCCCAAGAGCCCTCCAAAACGTCCTCC